TTAAAACTTACTTTGTCATGTATATAATAAGCATAGCTAAAAATTATGCATCCTAAAACTGTGTGATTTTTAAAATACAGCACATTTTCCGTGTATGGAGATTTTTACTGCAGAAAGGTATCTAACATGACAATCTGACAATCTGTCATTGGGATGCCACCACTGCTTTTCCCAGATCAACTGACAAGACCTCAGCTGGGTTCTTACAGGTTACTTAAGAATACTTCTAGAGCCATCCTTGGCCATGAAGTTACTGTTGGAACTATTCTTAAACCATGCCATCACCATGCAAGGAAGCTGCAGGTTTTGAAAAATCAGGAGTGGGATTATAATGATTTAGACCTTCTTACTGTTAGGTAGTGAAGGTGATTATAATACTATAAAAGCACTGGGTCTTACACCCTTTTGTGAGAAGGATCTGTGTGCCATTAATTAAACCACAACTTCTACTATTAGATATTATTAAAGAGACCAAACCCAAGAGACTAACGATAACCCTCACCCTACTGTGGACTTGGATTCAACGTGTAGAATTGGGTTATTCCAATTATAAGGTATAGAAGAGAAAATAAGTCGTGTAAAAGGCTAGGCAGAAACAATACATTTATTTCTTACGAACAAAAATTTATGCTTTACAAATAATGTCAGAAATTTAGTATTTTAAAATGGAGATTTATTTTTTAATCTTGTGTTATTCTTCCATGTTGACCATATAGAAGAACATGGGTTTTCAAGTAAAAATATTCTACTAGTAGACATCATATAATATGAAGGGGAGCTGGAAGTGAGCCTCAAAGCTCAAAATGTAAATGCTTTCATGCCCACTATTCCTAAATAATAATTATTATTAAATAATTATTATTAATTATTGTAAATATTGTAGTATACATCTTAATTTATCTATATATCTGTAAAATAAGAAGACTTATCTAGATAATCAAAAAACTTTTAACCCAGTTGGCCTACAGGTAATACCATACTATCAAATTCTATTTTAATAAATATGTGAAGTATAATTATATGTTCATTATAAGAAGCATGCGTATTTTGTCTTAGAGGTGTAAAGTGTACACATTATAAAGTTGGTTGTTCCTATGTACTTTTGTAGAAATGCTAAGGTCTAAATTTGCTCTTCTTCAAATGCATTGAGCAACTTTGTGGAATATACGCTTGTTGTGACATCTTATTCTGATGAAAGAACTAAACCCTTTGGGAACGAAAGGTTAGATAATATTTTATACAATATTTTAAATTCTCTTGGTTGTTCAAACTGCATTTTTCTAAAACAGGATATCTTTTAAGTGTTTTTGGTAGCATCTTTAATAAGCAGTAGTCTCTCAGTGGAAGAGGAGAGCAGAGAACAAGAGAGTTTCTAATTTGTATTAAAAATAGTAATTTGACATTTACTTCTTAGTCCTTCTCCAACTGTCTACAAAATCTTGCCTTGCACACTATGGTAATCTTGCCTTAAATTGGCAGTGATTTGTACCATGTATGTCACTTTGAAACTTGTATTCATGTTTATTTACATAACCCTGATATTAGAGATATTTAAAAAGCCAAAACTCTAATCTGTAGTCAAGGATATTTAAGAACATACAATACATAATGGATTAGAAGTATTATTTCAGTGTTTAACCATATTTGCTTGTGTACAATATAATTGTGTCCATCCACAATACTGTGTGTGTATTTATATTTATATAACTGTAAGAGTGCTGAACTATAATCGTATAGCTTCTTATAGAAAAATGTAGAAACATTTTATACTTTGATGATTACTGAAATTTCAAAGAACATATTTCCTTGTAATTCTTTCTGTGACTTTATTTCTCTTAAATATGTTTGGGTTAAGTTGCTTAAACTTTGGCTCACAAAAAAATTTTTTTCTCAGAATTCTTTCTTCATGATTTAAGCAGAATTGAAAAACTGGAGCAATAAAATCCAACAAATACATTTTATTACTTAATAATGCTTTATCTTCTTAGGGACACTAGCTGCTTTGGCTAGATAAACTTCAAACTCTCCAAATGTTTGAATTTCACATTTTGGAAACACTTTTTATTTAATGTCTTTTTTATATCCAATATAACTTTTAAACTTATGACATTCATCCTTTGACATTCTGCAAAGGAAACATGAATTAATCATTGAGTTTGTCCGGCAAGGGGAGCGGCATCTTACACTGATACTGTGAGCACACACAAGCTGTGCCTGAGATTATAGCACAAGAAAACATCCCAACAGCTATTGCACTGCTGCTTGCTCAATTCCCAGTCTCCTGAAATTCTAGGCCTTGATAGTACAGGGGTGGACTCTATGCTTATGTAATGTTGACTTTGTTATTGCACTTTCTGAAAACATAGAGGTTACTGTTAATAGCAATGCAAACTGGGCCAGGGGTTGCGGTCCATCTTTTGAAAGCATTTACAGGAAATGGTTTAATAAACCATTGTTATTGTTACAAAAATTATATTTTATTAATTAAGAATCACAGTTGATTGTAAATATATAAGTATGTTTTTAATGAAGTCTAGCTGGAAAGCCGATGATTTCATTACTGCCTACAATAATACAGATCAGCCTAGAAAGGGGAAGCATTTGTTAAAGAGCAGTGTTAGACTTTCTTTGAAAGCTGCCCAGAAAACAGATTTTATGTGAAGTAACTACTGTGCAGTTTCTCTCATACCCTGCCTGTAGTGTTAATGACTGCTTTTGTCAGCTTTGTAGCTCTTTTTTCCTTGATTTTTTTTTTCCCTACTTTCTCTCACTGACTTGTAAGCAATTTAAGACTAGAACCCTGTCATTTAACTCTTTGGTACAGTGGTTCTCCGTATCCATGGGTCTGCATCCATGGATTCAACCAACTGTGGTTGGGAAAATATTCAAAAAAATGAAAAATTCTAGAAAGTTCCAAAAAAGCAAAACCTGAATTTCCTATGCAGACAACTATTTATGTAGCATTTACATTGTATTTACAACTATTTACATAGCATTTACATTGTATTAGGTATTCTAATGATCTAGAGATGATTTAAAGTATACGGAAGGAGAGAAGTAGGTGAGGGAGATTAAGAGGTACAGACTTCCAGATACAAAATAAATGAGTCACATGTATAAAATGGACTGTGGGGGGAATATAGTCAATAATTATGTAATATCTTTGTATGGTGACAGATGATAACTAGACTTATCGTGGTGATAATTTTGAAATGTATAGAAATATCAAATCACTTTGCTGTGTACCAGGAACTAGTGTAGTGCTGCAGGTCAATTATACTTCAAAACAAACAAGCAAACAAACTCATAGGAAAAGAGATCAGATTTATGGTTACCAGAGGTGGGGGGTTTAGGGAGGGGAAATTAGAGGAAGGCAGTCAAAAGGTCAAACTTCAACTTATAAGATAAATAAGTACTAGGGATGTAATGTACAACCTGATAAATATAATTAACACTGCTGTATGTTATACATGCAAATTATTAAGAGAGTAAATCCTAAGAGTTCTCATCACAAAGAAAAACATTTTTTTCTATTTTTTTATTTTGGTGTCTATATGAAATGATGGCTGTTCACTAAACATACTGTGAAAATCATTTCATAATGTAGGTAAATCAAATCATTATGCTGTATACCTTAAACTTATGTAGTGATATATGTCAATTATCACTTAAGTAAAACAGGAAGGAAAAATTTAAAGTATATCGGAGGATGTGTATGTGTTATATGCAAACACTGCACCATTTTATATAAGGGACTTGAGCATGCGGAGATTTGGGTATCCATGGGGAAAGGGTAGAACCAATCCCCTGTAGATACCAAGGGAGGACTGTATCTCCCTTCACCAAGGAATGGAGTTTTGAATGAGGTAGATACAATAAATGTTGATGCTGTAGGTCATTTATGCAGGTAGAAGTATGAAGCTTCATCAAGAAGATGGAACTTATCCAGAGAAGAATACACAATTCCACTCCCTCTACTCCTTTCCAATCTTGGTAGTTACAAAGAATTAAGTAACTTAATGCTGTGGGATAATGATGGGTCTGGGAGATGGAAATTCTACCCTTAGTTCTGCCATGAGCTGGGATCTTGCTTTGTTTTGCAAAGTGAGGATGTTGGACCAGTTGATTTTTAAATTACCTCCTAGTCCTAAGATTAATTCTTTTCTAATGAAGAGCACTAGAATATCCTTACAGTAATTCCCTATGCCAGGTAATAACTCTCTTAAAACTCTGGAACGTAGGACTTGATTTCACTACAAGCTGAAATCTTGTGATCATATCCACAAAATGGACTACAATTTTAGTACCTGTATTTTATTTTATTTTATTTTATTTTTGTGGTACGTGGGCCTCTCACTGTCGCGGCCTCTCCCGTTGTGCAGCACAGGCTCTGGACGCACAGGCTCAGCGGCCATGGCTCACGGGCCCAGCCGCTCCGTGGCATGTGGGATCCTCCCGGACTGGGGCACGAGCCCATGTCCCCTGTACCGGCAGACGGACTCAACCACTGTGCCACCAGGGAAGCCCTAGTACCTGCATTTTTAATGATATAAAAAGATGTTATTAAATCTAGAAGTGTTTTTAAATTTTTTTTTTGTTTTTAGGTTGTTGTTTTAGGTTTTACGTTGTGGTTTTGCTTCATTTTAGTAATATGGCATGACTTTACATTTTTCTTTTCACCTTTACCAACTGTCAATAGTAAAATTTCTAAATTGGCTAATAGTTGTGAACTACAAGAGTCTTAATCACAATGTCCACGTACTACAGACAGTAAAAAGTTCTCAATCCACATATATATTTTATTCTAATACTTGTGTGCCCTTCAGTGTTGCCAGAATCATTTGTGGATGGAACAATTGATGCCTTGCCATGGTAAATAGACTAACCCCCAGCAAACAGACCACTAACACTTAATGTTAATAATAATGCTAAAATAATAATGCTAAAAATCCTGCTATTTTATTATCCTCTATGTCATCTATTTTCCCTTTGTTTTTTAGGGCATCCTTGAAGGGTAATCAGAGAACCGCTCACATGCCTCAAGGTAGGAAAAAGAACCCTTTTTTTGATTATAAAATATTTTGTATTTGTTTTAGCTATGTTTTAATACTTCACTCCCCTTGTTAGATATAGATAGAATTGATGTTGCTTATTCTGAAAACCTGAAAAATATTATGTCTACTTACCTGTTAAACTTGAAATCATCCAATGCATAGTGTTTAGTCATCAGTTTGAATTTTTCTTCCATACTATTACATACTACTACAGTTTATTATATCTTTTAGAGTTTATGTTTTACTGCAGATAGAATTTATTCAATATTTTATATTTTTGTATTACCCTTTTCATAATTTTAGGGTAGTTTGACATTACCATATACTATTTCCATGTATCAGGAAGAAAATTATATAATATATACACTTAGGTATACTAATATATGCAATATATTGTTAGAAACTGAGATTCTCTAGCCTACCATAATTTCATAGCTTTCTTCTTATTTTAAAACTAATTTTTGAAGAAGCCACCAAAGTAACCATAAGTATAATTAGCTATCATGATTTAGTAAACTAAATGTTAATTTGGAAGAATTTACTTCAGTATTAGCTTTTCTTAATAAGAGTGCCAGAAAATGTGGCCCTTTTCTTGGCTAGGATGTATGTGAAGATAAATTTAGAATTTCTAGTCTAGTAAATAACTTCTCTGATAATAGCTTAATTGTAGCTATTTCTAACCAAATTGTTTAATTGTGATAAATCACATGCAAATTGTTCAGATGTAGGTCAACCTCTCACTCCTTCATTCTAGCACCTCTTTTCTAATTCAAGACAAACCGCTCAATGCCTAAAAGAGGTAGAATGGTACAGATTAAAAACATAAGACAAAAACAAAACAATAATAACATAAAAATCAATAGTGGGCTAGGAGCCACAAAGATAGCAAGGCAGGTTGCATTTATTTTACCTTAGCTGATGATCTCTTATGCTGTGTTTGTACACTATCATTTGCTCACTGCTCATGAGATTTGTGGGTGACAAATCATGGTGCCTCTAGGATGCTAAGTTTCCTCATCTGTATTTGTTTTTGGTGATCTGGTTGAGTGATACAAGTGGGACTCAGTGATGGGAAAGAATGCCTTGTGTGGCTCTGGGGAGGCCAACTGAGATATATTGCAGTTGTATAAGGTCTGGAAATCCTTTATTTTCCTAACTGCTACATTCTAGTTCTAATCTATAGTTGCCTTTGTGATGGGTCATTGTATCACTTTCTGATGAACAGCTGAGATTTTATGAATTCTATTTAATCATTATATGTTGTCTACTATACTTTGAAAGAAAAATTTTTATCTTCAATTTCTAAAGCATCAAAAAATCATAAAGCAGATTCATGAGTTTGTTACATTTGCTGTCTTTTACCTCTAGGTGATTATCGCTATATTGGTATATATTATGGTATATTGACAGAAAATAGTGAGCATTCCTGGTTATTGACAAAAAATTATTTTGGCCTTAGTGCTAATAAAATTAGAAATCTGCCTTACTATAAACATAATTTTTAAAATTATTCTTCATTGGAATTTGATTTAAGAATTTGAATTTATATTTTCATATAACTTATGATTTTAACATTTTCTAACATTTGTTTTGAGTTAAATTTTTCATTCTTGAAAAATTACTGAATGAAATTACTGACTTAAAAAGTGCCAATGATTTTTCTAATTCTTAGAATGGGGAAAATAGATGGTGTATACTTTGTATTTCTTTCAATATAAATACTTTTCTTGTTTGAATTATTTAAAATTAAAAGTTAGAGAATTATACTAAATAGAAAGTGATATTTCCCTCAAAGTTAGCTACTAATAAATTTTGGGTGTTTATTCTTCCAGATTCCTTCTTTATATACATAAACATCAATATCAATCTATGCACATAATGCTTTCATACCATATGCATAATTTTGTATTTCTTTAACATTTTAATTATGAAATTTTTTCTAAGTCAATATATGTTACCTATTTCATCCTTTTTAATGGCTGCATTTTAGACACATTTTTGATGTACCATGATTTATTTAACAGGCCCTCTAAACTTTTTTTTAATAGAATTTTATAATAGAATGAAAGCAGGCCTTCCTTAATTACATTTTTGGCAGGCATACAAAAGAGTAATTCCCATTTGTATATTGAATTAGGAAATTAAGGAGTGAAGGAAAAGTGTTACAGTAAAGAGGCATAAAAAATATTAGGTAAGTGCACATAAATGGTCAGCGGAAAGAAAAGCAAATAATATAGATGTTCATGGAACCGTGTTTTAGATATGTAAAAGTAAAATTCTGATATTTTTTCAAGGTTCACACCACATGACACACCTTCCATAGCTTTCAAAGAGACATTTCCCTTCATCCTCAGTCTCAGCAGTCTTACATCTTTTTAACGCTTTGGGGAAAAATAGATCTCATCACACATGTTATGTCACATATAAAAATTCATCTCGCATTTATCTTTTTTTTCTCTACTTGCTGTTAACTCTTAGAGGGTAATGACTGTGGGCTACTCATATCTGAACTTAGTAGGTGCTAAATTGGATTGAAGTGTGAAAAGGGGGAGAAATCAGGTAGAAATGTTTAATCTTAGCAGAAGAAGAAGGTTCCACTATCTGCCTGGAGCAAATACAGTAATACAGTAATAATTAATTCTTCTGATGAATGGGATACAAAGGATATAAACACGTGATTTTTGATATATAATGAAAGTTCTTTTAAACTGAATTTTAATGATTCTTAGAGGCACTCATGCTTAAAATCAGACCTACAAGTTAAGTGTTTCAGAAAAATATGTATAAATTTATGAAAAAATATTTGTATGGTACTGAGCTTATTTATACATTACCTCATATGGATCTAAAAACACTTTGTCAGCTTTAAAGTATTATACACATGTAAGACATTATTTTTATTGGTAAGACAGTAAGAAAGTTGGCTCTGTGGATTTAAAGTATGGATGGTTATTTACAAAATAGAAGTAATATATAAAAGAAGCAGTTCTTTATGTGAATTCTGTTAGAAGAAAGGGAATATTGCTTTTAATACTTGTATATAATGCAAATTGCTACTCATGCCATTTAAATGAATCTTTGACATCTCAACCAGCAAAAGTAGAGTTATTAATAGTTTGAATTATGCCTGAAAGAATCTTTGATTTCACATTAGTCTGAATTCAATAGTAGTGTTAATTTAAAATATCTGAACATATGTACCGGTTTCTTTTTTTTTAACAGGAAAATGAAAAATTAGTGGGTGTAAAAGTCTCTTTTGAAACTGAATGTAATACCTACTGCATAATAGCTTTTCTCCTCATCTGACTTGCAGAAGTCACTAGCCCCAAACTCTGATTTTACATACATTTTACTGGACAAATCAGGAAGGAGGAAAGGATCTTGGTCAGTCTTCTAAATACATTTTTGAGCTTGTTTTGCTGACCTTTGCTTGACCAGAGCTTGAACCTTAGTATTTCAGATGTATATTTTTACATTGTCTTTGTTCTCAAAGCTCTCCAGTTGTTGTTATCTATTTGGCCAGGGTTGTAAGTTCAAGTATTTTTAGGGCCCATGAATATAACAAAAGTGGGTATAACAGGCCAGTATTGTACAATAGGGAGTGGTGTGGACTGAGGAACAGATGATCACATGCTCAACATCCAGGGGCTGCTTCTGCTCATTGCAGTCAAATATTCTAACTAACTGTATGTTCCAGTAGCCATAACTTCTAAAGGTAAAGGGAATTAAATATTGGAATTTCTATGTGAAATCTCACAGTTTTTGAATATGGGCTCAGATTTTAAATGTTGGGGAAAAAAAGAAAACCATGAAAAGCAATTTTGACGTGCCCTAGATAAGCAATTTGCTACCTTTGCATAGATACCCTGTAAATACTTGCTCAATCAATGAGTGAATTATAAATCTCAATAAGATATAGGGAAATTAAAGAGCACTCTAACCCTTGTTCTCCCATGTCCATTGGAAATTTCGTATAATACTTTAAGGAGGGTCATAGCCATTAGCAACAAATATGGAGACCTACCAGATAAGCCTTTTCAGTCTATCTCTGGATTCCAGAAAGGGGAAAGCAAGAGTGAACCTTTGTTAAAATATAGTATGATATGCAAAAAATGATGGTTAAGAGACACCTTTTTTGAACACATTTTTATCTTACCCCCAAATGCATCTTATGCTATTAATTTATTACCATTTTTTCTTTCTTTTTTTTTTTTTTTTGCGGTACGCGGTCCTCTCACTGTTGTGGCCTCTCCCGTTGCGGAGCACAGGCTCCGGATGCGCAGACTCAGCGGCCATGGCTCACGGGACCAGCCGCTCTGCGGCATGTGGGATCTTCCCGGACCGGGGCACGAACCCATGTCCCCTGCATCAGCAGGCGGACTCTCAACCACTGCACCAGCAGGGAAGCCCTACCATCTTTTCTTTAATTCAAGCCTTCTGCAAATCTTTTGTCATTTATTAATTTTAAAGAAAATGGTGAATTAAAATAATGAATCAAAGGGAAGTCAAACCCAAGGGAAAAATAAAAATCACACATGCAAATCTTGACACATAATCATTAATGAATAAACATGGATCCAATGGACTCTGTTTTATCTTTTGACCTTCAAGATTTACTGTTTTTTTGAGATCTCTTCTGCTTTCTTTCTGGACAAACTCACCCTTCCCTCTTTTATTTCAGTCCCTTATATCACCACACATTTCACTGCATTTAATGGTACCTAATTACGGTTGCTCTCATGTCTCTCTTCCCAAGTAGACTTGAGAATCTCAAGGCCAGAAACTATCTTTTAAAGATCATAAACTTATAGAAAATTTGCAAGTACAGTACAGAGAACTTTTTCCACTGAACTGTTTGAAAGTAAATTTCCAACCTAATGCCCCATTACCCTCAAGTACTTTAGGATGTGTCTCCTTACAAACAAGGACATTTTCCACACAACCACAATAAAATAGTCAATATCAGGTACTAAGGACTGAATTGTGCCCC